GCCTGTGGTCCCAGCTACTTGGGAGGCAGAGGCAGAAGACTCGCTTGAGCCCAGGAGTTGGAGGTTGCTGTAAGCTGAGATGCCACGGCACTCTACCTAGGGGGACAGCTTGAGGCTCCTGTCTGAAAAAAAACTTTTTTTAACAATGTTGGGGGGCACCCGTGGCTCAAAGGAGTAGGGCACTGGCCCCATATGCCGGAGGTGGTGGGTTCAAACCAAGCCCCACTAAAAACTGAAAAAAAAAAAAAAAAATTAACAATGTCTCTGGCTATTGAGCTTGCAAAGTTCTCTTGTTCCTGGTTCCCTCTAGTGAATTTCAGAATTGCAAACTGCATGTTGAGGGGATGAGGGGAAGACTTAGCAGGGGTAGAAATCAACCCTAACTCTGCAGAAGGACAGAGGCCACTGACATGTTGTGAGGCCCTGTATGGTGAGGCTCAGGAATAGCGCAGAGAGCTGGTGTGGGATGGGGAGGTGTGTCAGAGCAGGCTTTCTGAAAAGAGGGTTTCCTCTGTCGTATCCTAGTGGGAAGAGACCAGAACAGAGAAGGCAGGTGGAGAGAGAATACTCCTAGCGTCTTCTCTGTTTAGAGATCCCGGATTCTGGTGGCCACGAAGGGTTTTGACAATGTGACACCGAGCAGTCTAGTGGTTACCTGGCTCTCTATGAGTGACCATGGGGAAGCTGCTTAACCTTTCCCAGCCTGGGTTTCTTCATTTATAACACAGAGATGATAGAAGTCCCGCGGAGAGTGCCTGGGAGGGCTGAATGGAATGACTGGGCGAGAAGCCGGCGACAGCACACGGTGCTCTGCGCAAGGGGCGCCGGTGAATACCTCTCGGAAGGGTTGGACAAAGCGCCAGGGGGCGGGTGATTCAGGTGGATAACATTAACCAGATTTTTTCCGCCCAGATTCATACTTCCTGTGAGTCTGTGAAGGTGTTTATAAACAAAGTGCAACTCAAAGGTTGCCGTCGGGAGTGAAAGCAGTGGGGGTTAGGGGAGAGGCTTGCCCGGCTGCGAGCTGAGGAACCTCATCGCCCCCGGCACGGTCCAAGCTGAACTCAAGTGGACTCCTTTGCAATGCCCCCACCCCTCACCGCTGGAGCCCCCTCCCAAGTAATCCTTGGGACACACAATATACATTCCTTGTTTTCGTCTCGGCGTTGAGACGAGGGATGAAGAGCGAGAGCGGGTCGGGAACGGGAGTGGGGGCAGTAATGGGCCGAACTGGATTAAATGGTCCCCAGCAACTCCGACGGCAAACGGGACAGAGAGGGTACACAGCGCGGCCTCGAGGGCGCTGGGCGGCTGGGGAACGGAGCTCAGGGCCGGCTGGGCGCCTGGCCCGCAGCGCCGCCTCCCGGGAGGAAGGCGGGGGCCGGGAGGAGGGAACGGGAGGAGGCGGAGGGCGGAGGAGGGCGGCGCGCGGAGAGGTTATTTGTGGTTCGCTTTGATCCCTAGGGGGAACCTGAAACTCTCACATTCCTGGCATAGCAGCCGCCTCCGGCGCGGGCCGACCCTGGGGCTGCGCGCTGGGGCGCGAACAGCCAGAGCGTCGGCGCCACCGCAGAGAGCACATCTCCGCCCTGAGCCTAGCCGAGCCGGGCTGTGCTGTTGTCGGGTCCGACTGCGCGGGACACCCGCGGGCCGCAGCGGTAAGGAAGGCCGCTCGGCGCCCGGAGAGCGCGCGAGGCCGCCAGAGACGTGTCCCAGCGCGGCGGCCTTTCCGGGAGTCAGGGCTCCGCGGACCCAGCGTCTTCAGGGCGCCTTTCGAGGCAGCCGCGGTGTTGGGCAAGGACCGTTCGGCGTGCACTTCGGGGGGCGGGGTGCGGCTCTCAGACGAACGAGTTCCCTGGAGCTTAGAGAGGGAGCAGACTCCGTGGAAAGCGGGGTTGGCGTTTGCGGTTGTGGGTCGGGCGGGCTGTGCAGGCAGTGGTGGCGCGGAACAGAGCTGGAGGCGCCTCTTGGATTTCTAGTTTTACAGTGCCGTGGGGGACTCATTTGGTTAGGTGGGGGAGGGTCACAGGTGCCTATGCCCCCTACTAGCCCAAGAATTCCTCTTTGTCTTCCTTGGAAAATCCTCTCTGGAGCCACGAATTGGCTCTCACTTAGAAAGAATGCAGCCTGCTGTCCAGCCTGGTGACGTCAGCGCTGGAGTATTTGGAAAACAAAGAGGGCTCGGCAGGGAGGGAGGGAGGCGGGCCCGCGGCGTTTATAGACCTCTCGGGGCCGCAGGCTACCCTCACCGGCTCGCCCCAGGCGCACCGGCAGCCACGGGTGCTCGTGTTAGGCGCGGTGTGATCTGCTTTGGCGACTCTATGGTTCCTTAAATGAGTGGGAGCCCAGGCGAAGGCCAGAGGTGCGTGCTTTCAGCGAGCGCAGCGCGCTAGCGCAGCAGAGACGCATCGCCCCGGTCAGAGAAGCAGATTTTACTAACCTTTCAGCCCTTTGATCTGAAAGGATGTGCATTGGAGGGGCTTCCCTGGGACAAATTCGCAGCAACAGGCCTCGGAGGTGTTCCTTGCAGTCAGTCTGTTCACACCGTCGGCGCGCTAGGAACCTGTCGGGAAGGCTCTGCATTCCTTCTTGCCGTTCCCCTATCCTCCTCTGCGGGAGTCAGCCCGACAGTGATTAACTTAGGAAATGCCTGCAGGTGAAACCGGGAAGATTGAATCTTGGTTGCTTTTTTTAGCCTCTGGTAACTCTGGAGGTAGTAGTAGTGACGCCGTATTTCTCGTTGAGGGAGGGAGTGGGGTAGGTTGGGTGCCAGGAAGGGTGAGTACCATCTATACTCATCCCTCACTCTCCAGCTCTGGGCATCTGGAGTCCTCGCGCGGGAAGGGAGAGAATTGGGAATGGTTGCTCCGTCTATACACCAAGTTCAAACTGAGGCAGGGCACTGGGGCTATTGTTGTGGCAGAGAAGGGGCCACATTCCTTCCCTCACACCATTCCCTTTGCGCACAGGATTGCGGCAGTATGGATTGTGTTTGGATTGTGTTTGATTTTCTCTGAGTCCCCCTTTAGAGGTTTGCGCTGGAGATGACTGTAGAAAGGAAAGTGGATGAGGGAGGTGGGCAGCTTTCCAGGCCATGAGCCACTGGGAGCCCAGGCTTAGAAGAGAACGTGTTCCTTAGGATATTATCTGCCTGCGTTTTAGGCCCACAGTCCTCAGCCCTTAGCCCTAGGTCCCTGCAACAAACTGGCTCCCCATTTCTCCCTTACTCTTCTAGTTTGCCCAGGTCAAGATGGGCTTTCTTAATGCTGATGTCAAGAAAGATGCTGAGTGTCCATCTCCTGTGTGCCTAGAGGATGGGGTGTGGGGCAAGTATCAGAGGGCTGGGTGTATGCACACGCACCTAACGAGTGCAGAACTAATCTTAAAATTAAAGACATTGTGCCCTCATTTTTCCTAGCACTCTGATGCAGTTATTGTCATGGAAAGTTAGGTGATTGACCCACTAACCTTAATGGGTAGCATTTTTTTTTGCCTTATCTCACAAAACTATTATCCCATAGCCTTCCTTTTTTCATCTCTATTCACCAATTCAGGTGCAATTCCTCTTTCTACCTGTTCACCTTGCAAAGCGACTGCCAAGGTCATCCTGTGACGGGAAACCCCAGATTCATTCTATCAGCAATCCTTGATGAGTTAGAGATCAAGGGGAGTGAGAGAAGTGGGCAGAAGGTGCTAGGTTGATTGTGCCCAGGCTAGCCTTGGGCATGCTTCCTTCTTCAAATGGTCCTGGGAGCCATTTTTATCACCTGCCAAATAAACTGGGGTCCTTCCACCCTAGGACTGGTTAGGGAAGTAGTTAGATCTGAACTAGGCCTCATCAGGCTGTCTGATGGGTGGCTGACTGTAGGGGGCCATGGTTCCTGGTAGATTGCCTTCTGGTTTACTGTTGTCTTAATTCAGGCTTAGTTAAGTCTTCATGAATACCATTATAATGTTAATCATTTACCTAGTATTTACCAAGAGCTCAAGAGCACTCCTTTTAATTCTTAACTCTACTAGGCAAGGAGTATTCTTTGCATTTTCCTGATGGACAAACAGAGGCTCAGATGTTAGGGAACTTGCCGTAACCCCACCCCCACCCCCAGGTCTTCACCTGTCTGCTTTCAACCAGTCTGTAATAATAGAAAGTCCTCCCTTTACACATGGGCTCCTGCTGATTGCTTTTCTGTCTCTCTTGCCAGCTGCTCTGGGGCCAGGTGTTGCTGGCCATTGTCCAGGCAGGTGTGTGCAAGCCAAAGAAGCATGAGGACACTGGAAGACTCCTCGGGGACAGTCCTGCACCGCCTCATCCAGGAGCAGTTGCGCTATGGCAACCTGACTGAGACCCGCACACTGCTGGCCATCCAGCAGCAGGCTCTGCGGGGTGGGGCTGGAGCTGGGAGCACAGGGAGCCCCCAGGCCTCCCTAGAGATCCTGGCACCTGAAGACAGTCAGGTCCTGCAACAGTCTACGAGGCAAGAGCCCCAGGGCCAGGAGCACCAGGGTGCTGAGACCCACCTGGCAGAGAACACCCTCTACCGGCTATGCCCACAGCCCAGCAAGGGCGAGGAACTGCCCACCTATGAGGAAGCCAAAGCCCACTCACAGTACTATGCAGCCCAGCAGGCCGGGCAACGGCCACATGTTGGGGACCGGGATCCTCGAGGGGCTCCGGGAGGCAGTCGGCGGCAGGATGAGGCTCTGCGGGAGCTGAGGCATGGGCACGTGCGCTCCCTGAGTGAACGGCTCCTGCAGCTGTCCCTGGAGAGGAATGGCGCCCGGGCCCCCAGCCACATGAGCTCCTCCCACAGCTTCCCACAGCTGGCCCGCAGCCATCAGGGACCCCCACCCAGGGCCCCCCCTGCTGAGGGCCCGGAGCCCCGTGGGCCCCCACCTCAGTATCCACACGTCGTGCTAGCTCATGAGACCACCACTGCTGTCTCTGACCCGAGGTACCGGCACAGCAACCCGCACTTCCAGCATGCTGAAGTCAGGTACCTGCCCCTGCCTTGGTCTTTCAATCTCTTGCCTTTCTTCCAGTAAAGTTCTCCGCTGGAGGAGAGCCTTAAGATCATTCCTTGTGTCAGAGCTGGCAAGATTCCCCACCAGCTCCAGAGGCCTGATCTAACCCCTTCCTTCCTGAGATGGGAGAACTCTTGCCTGGAGGAGAGAGGGACTTAGCCAAGGTCACCTTAAATAATAAAGAAGCTAGTGGCACCTCTTGCCTTAATTTAGAGATAGACACCATAGTCAGCTTTGCTGTAGCATTCTGATAACTAGGGTTCCCAGAAGATATGAATTACAGCAGGGGGTTAAAGGGTAGATTTCCTGAAGAACTTCCTAAAGACAAGGTTGGCAATCATTGCGAAACTGTATCCAAGTAGTAAGTAGTTTCCAAAAAAAAAAAAAAAGGAAAGAAAGAAAAGGACTGCCTTCTCTTTTTGTTGTTGTTGTTTTAAGAAAAAGTGGACAGCTTGCTTTCTATTAATTGGGATACATTCCTAACTGGAGGCCGGAAGAACCATGTGGCCTCTTTAGGGACTTCTTATCCTACAATGGGGGACGAGCTGCCCTGTCCCTACTGTTCATTTCCTTTCATGTTTTTCTGTGTGTTCCATGTGCCTTAGCCTATAGTGGGAGAAGATCTGGGTAAAGATGAGCCCATTTCTGCAGAGGCTCAGGAGTGACTGCTCGGCCAGGGGTAGGGACTTGGAGTTTGATTCTGGGTGTGAAGAGAAGTATTAGAAGATGTGATTTGAGTTATTATCTTTTTAAAAGGTCCCTCTGGAAATGTAGAGTATAGATTATAAGGGGCCAGAACAGAAGCAAGAAGGCCAGAGGGAGGCAAGAAGCCCAGACAGTTTGCAGAAATACAGGTTCCTAGAAATGAGGCTCTGCCTCAGGCCTGGTCCAACAGACATTGTTGCTGCATCTCATCCCCCAAGAGTCCAGGAAACGGCCACCAGAGGGGCCTGAGGATTTTAGGCTCTTCCTCAGGTTGCCCAAGAACACAATCGGGTTCTCTTCATGCCTGCTGAGTATTCATTTAGTCACCCACTTTCCCACCATTTGGCCTTCCTAGGGAAGATGCCTTTCCCTGCTCTCGAGAAACGAGTGACGTGATGGTGCTGGTATGGAGGAACTAGAGGTTGGAGGCTCGTAGTTTTCCTCCAACCTCCACCCACTCCAGCCTCCCCCTTATCTCCCTTCTCAGGGCTCTGTCTGGGAAGAATTTCGTGAGTCGTTTCTTCTTTGAGACCAACCTATTGAACGCTGTCAGGAAAAGATAATAATCATAGCAAGGAAGTAGCCTGCAGGAGAACAAAAGGGGGTGGGTAGGACCAAGGGGAAGGGAGAGCAAGTGTGAAGGGAAAGGAGCCACAAAAGTCATCCCCAAAGAATGCTACTTGCGCCTGCCTGGCCCAGTGCATGGGGGAGCAAGTTCTGGAAGCAACCTCAAGAGTGGCCACATTTAGCAATGGAGGGAGAGTTTGGACACTTCCTGCCTCACATAGTGGGAGAAATACATCTTCCCAGCCTTTGCTTTTTTGGCTGATCAGGTAGAGATTGTCAGGAGAGAGAGGCAGGTACTTTTCCTTTTAGCCTGAGGTTCTGAGAAGAACAAAGGATCCATAGGCAGCGGCAGGGACCAGGAGGGTCAGGTGAGCAGGAGTTCTGAGCCGATGGGCCCAGAAGCAGAATTAATGTTTTGTGGGGCTTCTGTAACTTGGAAAATTCTTTGCAAAACTGAAAAGTTGTGACACTGGAAGTCACAGGGCCCCAGAAAAGCCCCTGGACTCCCCACACCCTTGCTGTTCTTTCCTCAACACAGAGCCCTGGGAGTGATGTTACACCACGGCTAGAGGCCAGTAGAATGTGGTCCCCTGAGCTCAGCTGCTGTAATAATCCAGAGGCAGCCCCTACTCCCAAGAACATCCAATGTTTGGGTCACATTTACCCTTTAACTAAGGAAGCTGAAGTCCCTCCTAGGAGAGGTAGAGGACAGGCTGCCATTCTGGAATACCTACCACCTGCCTGGCATGGTGCAGTCCTCACAAGTCCCCACAAGACTGGAGACCCTCTGATGTAGCAGCCCCCGCCACCCCCATGGGGCCAGGACACTTGCTGAGGTTAAACAGCGGGAGCCAGGATCAGAACCTCTAGTTATCTGACACTAGAGCTCAGACTCTTACCCTAACATCTGTCTCATTTTTCTACCTGAACTTCTAAAGATGATTCTGAGGGGGGTGGCAGAACCTGAACTAGGAAAGAGAAAACCTGAGTGTGCTGCTTTGGCAGTCCTGAAACTGCACCTTGTAACAGACACAGGGTAGGTAGTTCTCGAGGCCCAGACACCAGGTGGCCTGGGGACCGGAAGGCTGCATACTTAGTCATGATAGATGTGGCCTCCAGACTCGCAGAGAACATTGCACTGTTGAGAGATGTCAGTTTGTGTTTTTTAAAGCTGCCTTATTTAAGCATTAGTTGTTTAGGAGGCCTGGGATTGCTCAGGCTGATCCCCAAGGCCTTGGCCACAGTGAGGCTGGGCAGGAAACAAGTGTCCTGACACTAATCCCCCCCAGCCATGCTGTCTGGCCCTTGAAGGTCTCACCTGTCTCAGACAAATGAGATGGAGTTTGGAGTTTGCCTCAGGAGACTACTCTGGGGTGGGAGCTGTGTAGTCTCTGAGCCCTGTCTCTTCTGTTCCCCAGGATCCTGCAGGCCCAGGTGCCCCCTGTGTTCCTCCAGCAGCCACAGCAGTACCAATACCTGCAGCAGCCCCAGGAGCACGCTCCACCTGCACATCCTGCCACGCTCAGCCATGGCCCCCTGGGCACCTTTGGTCCACCTGGGGTGGAAGGGCCAGGAAGTGCCCAGGCCTCCTCAGCCACCTCGGGCAGTGCCCACCTGGCCCAGATGGAGACTGTGCTGAGGGAGAATGCCAGGCTGCAGAGGGACAACGAGAGGCTGCAGAGGGAACTGGAGAGCTCAGCGGAGAAGGCTGGCCGCATTGAGAAGGTAGGCCCTGCTGGGGCTCAGAGGGGCAGTGGAGGGGAGACCGCAAGGAATGGCCAAAAGTCTGTCTGGTAGAATTTCTTCCCCTACCCTTTGCCTGCCATCTCCCTCACCCCTCATCCACCCTCTGGAGCTGACTCCAGACAGCTGGGGTCCAGCCGAGAGGAGGCAGAGCAGGCCTGGAGCCTGAGCAGTTGCTGGCCAGTGGTAATTATAAAGATCCCATTCACTAGCTCACTGCACACTCGCACCCTTGCCCTGCACACACCCCCTCCTGTGGACACCTCCCACAGAGAGCCCTTTGTATCCCCTACACAACAGCAAGTCTGTTCCATGCCAGCCCTGGCCAAAGAAAAAGCCACTCCTCTTGGATAAAAACGAGCAACTTGTTGGAATTGAAGGCCAGCTAGGAGCACGTGCAGAACCTGCCAGTGCCAAATGGGAGGGGCAGCTGGGACTGGGCTGGCCCTCTGGATGGATGGCCACAGTCAGGAGCACATCCAAGGAGAAGCAGCTCAGGCTCTGGTTTGGTGCCACCTTCTTGAGTGAAGGTTGCCAGTTCCGTGCTAAGACTCAGCTTTAGCAGATGACCTCAAGCCTCCTATGACTGTCCTGTGATGTCCAAGATAAGTCAGACCACCCAGAATGTGGCTGCAGTCTTTTGTGCCCACTCTTGTCCCACAGTGCCCAAATTTCTTGGCGTAAGCTAGCCAAAAGTAAAATGTTTCTTTCTGGATATAGGGCACAGGAAAGCCATGTTTAGTTACACGGAGGCAGCCACTTTCCAGAGACAGAGGACAGAGACACAGAAAGATAGAGGACAGAGAAACAGACACACAGAGAAACACAGAGCAGACAGAGACACAGACAGGGCAGAGAGATAGATAGAGACATAGGGAGGAGAGAGGGGACCTTAGCAGGTCCTTGAGGCAACTACTAGGTTCCTCACTTATTGATCTGAGAAGTCTAGTCTGTGTCAGGAGGCTACAGGCTTCTGCCATTCCCACCATAGCCACCTGGACTGTTTGCTTCTGCTTCGTATCCTCTCCTCTCATCTTGCACCTTTTCTGATGGAGAGTAGCAGGTCAGCCTGCATCACCCCGGGGAGTCCTCCTCTTCCTTCAGCTCTCCTATCTGCCTCTTGTAGCTGGAAAGTGAAATCCAGCGGCTCTCTGAGGCCCATGAGGGCCTAACAAGAACCTCTTCCAAACGTGAGGCCCTGGAGAAGACCATGCGGAACAAGATGGACAGTGAAATGAGGAGGCTGCAGGACTTCAACCGGGATCTCAGAGGTGAGCACTGGTCACACAGGTGGAGGGTTATCCACCTGGGGAGTATCTGCGAAGGCCTTGGTTCCTCTATTCTGGGGAAATTCAGAATCTCTGTTGTCTGCAAAAAATAAGTGCAAATGACTCGGGGGCCAGGCTGAGATTCCTTGGAAGTCACCCTGATAGAGATGTTTGTCCCTGTGTCCTGGATCTAAGATCCTCTCATGTAGCGCCCATCACGTGGCCCAGATCATGGCCTTCAGTGAAGCTGGGGCTCTCCTATGAGCCTATCCCAAGAGTGGAGGATGAATCCCCATAGATAGGCTTCAGGCAAAACCCCAAGCAGGCAGCTTCGCCTGTAAAACATTGTTCCTTTACTTGAAACAGAGAGATTGGAATCTGCAAACCGCCGTCTGGCAAGCAAGACACAGGAGGCCCAGGTGGGCAATCAGGACATGGTGGCCAAGCTGCTTGCTCAGAGTGAGTAGAGGGCCCACTAAGAACCCTGGCTTGTTGTGGAGGTGGTGGGACCACTCTAGGCAGTGAGGACGGGCCCTCCTGGCAGGGCAGCACTCTGGACACAGGTTTATAGAGTACCTACTATATGCCCAATGCTGGGCTGGATCTGGGGGGAGGAGTGGCTTCATAGAGTAATAACGTCTCTATTTATTGGGAAGATCAGTTTATACGAGAGGGAAATCAACCAGAGAGTTGGTTGAGGGTGCCCAGTGGGAATGTGAGAAGCTGGGGGGAATGGTGGGACTGGGCCATCACAAGACAGCTAAGTGAAGGCCCCTGAGATAGCCAGAAACATGGTCCTACAGCTTAACCTACAGATGCTTTTTATTTATTTTTTGGCCGTTTTGGCCGGGGCCAGGCTTGAACCCGCCACCACGGTATATGGAGCTGGTGCCCTACTCCTTGAGCCACAGGCACCACCCTACAGATGCTTTTTAAAGAGGTTCAGGAGGGGCTGCGTCTTTAGCTCAAGGAGTAGGGCACTGGCCCCATATGCCAGAGGTGGCGGCAAACCCAGCCCTCTGGCCAAAGAAAAACTGCAACGAGGACAACAAAAAGAGGTTCAGGAGGCTTCTCTCTAAAGGGGTTGGTCCAAGTTTCCTTGAAGGGCAGATGAGTTCGTGGACTAGTCCATTCATTTATTCATTCATTTGCTCATTAGTAGAATTGTGCTAAGCATCTGGCAGGTACTGCAACAGGAAGGCCAAGAGAGAGGGTGAGCTTCAGGGACAAGCGGTTTCCCACAGATTCAAGAGAACAAGGGTGTTTATGGTCCTGGACATTGGTGATTAGGAGGTCCTTGGTGGCCTAAGAGAGAGGTGCTGTGGCTCTGTGGGGATGGCCAGGGATGAAGGAATAGTTGAGTAGAAGGGCATGGGGATGGGGAGTAGGAGCAAGGGGAGCCCTGTGTTCAGCAGGAGGAAGATACCTTAGCAGTTAGAAGAGACCGAGAGCCAGCTCCTACTGTATGCACCTGCTGCAAGCTGAAGTATGTTCAGGGTATTTGTAGAGAAGTAGGATGGGAGTGGTTGATGTCTGGGTAAAGGTGGATTTGAGGAAGGATGGGATTAAGGAACCCAGTGTGAGTGACACAGATGATAGAGGGTGTCCACAATTGGGGAGGAGCAGCTAATGACTGAGCTCTGGCTGGAGTACCCCTGTCCTCCTTCAAGAAGGGGTCAAAGCTCAGAGCAGGAACTTGGGGAACACTGAGGAGACAGAAGAGGTGGGGCTCTTGCCTCTTGGTAGTCTAGGCTGTCCTGGCTGGATGTGGGGAGGTAGCAAAGGGAAGAGATGGGACTGAGGGAGAAGGGGGTGGAGGCATCCTGGGTTGTCCTTGGGAGCCTGGGGAGAAGGAATTGCTGGAGGGGAACAAATTGAGGGTGCCCGTGGAGGAGGGCTGACTTTTGAGGCCTGGCTCTGCCAAAGAAAGGAAGTCAGGGAGCTTGCAAAGGAGTGGTGGTGGGGGAGGCCACTGGGAGGTGTTTCCGCTCCCTGGGGAGCAGCCAGCGCCTGGCTGTTCTTGGCTCCTCTCTGGAGCCATTAATCTGGCAGCGGGTGACCTGAATGCCTGGCATTCCAGAGCTGTGGGCTGTTCCACTCAGGCCCGCCCCCCACCGCTGCGGTACACTCTGCCTTCAGCTCTGCCTTCACTAGGCTTTGGGAGGAGAGAGTGAACAAAGGGAGACCAGGAGATGAGGCAGGGGCCACTGGCCCTGGGCACATCCCCTTGGCTTCTCCTTCCCCCTTCCTGCTGCCCTGCCCCCTCCACTGGCTTCCTGCATCCTCTCCCACAAGGACCCTGGCATATACATCTTGCTGAGGAGCCCTCCTCCCCAAGATTACACAGGCTTATGGTTTTTTCAGAGTCCTGGTGGCTGGGGGTGACCGGAGTCTGAAGCCTCCCAGTCTCCATCCAGGCCTTAGAGGTTGCAGGAGGCTTCTGGAAGCAGAGGACTAGGTCCATTGGTCCCTCTGCAAGGGCTGAGGAAACCAAAGCAGCAATTCTTTATACCTCAATATCCATTCCAAAAGGGCAACAGGGAAAATAGAGAATTCTCAGGGAATTACTAACCTCACTTTTCAGAGGAGGGGGCCTATCAGCACTAGGGAAGTGTGACTGTTATCAACAATGCCATCTACTTTCCCTCCTGGGCAAACCAGCCAGCCCCTCTGGCCCTCTGCACAGGTCCTGCCTCTCTGGGGGATCTAGCCTTGAGGCTTAAGCTCTGACTCTCCTACCTCTTCCCCTTTGAGTGTATTTCTTCTCTCTCTGAGCCTTAGGTTCAGGGTCATGCTAAGGCTGGAACGAGAGCCAGGCCTTATGTAACTTAAGCTGTAGGGCTCTTGTGAACCCACATGAGAGGCAGGGTACTGTCTGGGCTCAAGCCTACTGGCCCCCCTCTTCCCCACTCACTGGACCTTACGCCAGCAGAGTACGAACAGTTCATTTTCATTACTATTGGACTTCCCCATCTTTTCCCTTCATGCCAAAGAATGAGGCCAGCCTGGCCTCAGTCATCAAAAATCCCGAGTGATGGGGCAGCACCTATGGCTCAAAGGAGTAGGGCACAGGTCCCATATACTGGAGGTAGTGGGTTCAAACCTGGCCCCAGCCAAAAACTGCAAAAAAAAAAAAAAAAAAAAATCCCAAGTGAGCGGAGAGCTCATTGGGTTGACTCTGATTACCCTGCCAGGACCCTGAGTAAATGAATCCTCCCTTCTGCATACCAGGTCACAAGCCTTTGCTTTTCTGTTCCAGAACTTGAAATCAATGAATATCAAATACAATTTAGAATTTAGTTTCTTTGTCTTGCCACATTTCCAGTGCTCAGTAGCCATGCATACATAGTGGCCACTGCATTGCATGGCACGGTATGGAACAATCTCACTATGACAGAAAATTCCACTGAATCAGAGTGCTGCTGTAGAGGCAGGCAGTGGCTTTGGGTTTCTTAGACCAACCCTACAGTCCTGCCCACCTCCTGCTCTCTAGCAAGATAGACATCATACCCATCCTCAGGGGGCTTGCCTGGAATCCCAGGGGCAGGTGTATGTGAGTCGAATTGAAGCTGAGAGCATTTCCTAGAGGGCTCTGTGGTCTGGCCTGGGCTTCTCTCAGCCATGCAGAGAGGTTCTCTGTGCAGAGTTCCTCTGGGAAGTTACTAAGACGATTTAAAATTCAGGATAACTGGACCCTCAGATGCACATCTATGGACCATAGCAATTTTCATCCTGCTGTAGAGGTTGCGTTCTCAGTGGTTTCCCAGGCCATGGAAGGAAAATGGTAGGAGTCAGGAGAGGCCTGGGTCTGCAAAAGGACCTGGAGAGCCCACTTTCAGTGACCTGTGGTTGCAAGTGCTTCACACCATAGCCAGAAGTAGCCTGGGCCTTTGGACCCAGCAACCTGGGTTCCCATTTGGCCACACCTTTCACCTCCTGCTTCCTTCCCTATAAGTTGTCATACTTCCTACTTGAGGGACTAGAGCAGCAGTTCTCAACCTGTAGGTTGCAACCCCTTTGGACTGTATTGAAGGTTCACGGCATTAAGGAAGGTTGAGAACCACTGGACTAGAGGATTCAGTGGAACAAGATGTGAGTGTCTGGCTCAATGGGGCAGCTGGTGATTCTCTCCCACTCCCACCCCTACATGTTCCCTCTTTTCCTGGGCCTTTTTTGTCCCATCTGAATATGGCCATCACAGTCTCTAGTCATGATGAGGTTCAAGGGAAATTGTGATGTCAAGCACAGGTAGACACTGTTTGGGGCTGTTTCATGGCAGACTCAAGTCTCAGCAGAAGGGCACTGTGGCCCAGTTGTTACTGTAAGAGTCCTGGAGTTGGCTGTGCCATTCACTGCTAACTTAACCTGAGCTTCAGTTTCTTCTCCTGTGAAATGGGATTGATAATGGCACCTAACCCCTAGTGCCTCTGAGAGGATGAGAAGCAATGGTGCTTATCCAGTGGTCAGCACAGCCCAGCAAGCGGGGGGCCAGCCAGGGTGTTCACCATCACTGATGGATCCCCTCTGTCCCCACAGGCTATGAACAGCAGCAGGAGCAGGAGAAGCTGGAGCGGGAGTTGGCGCTGCTGCGCGGCGCCATAGAGGACCAGCGGCGGCGGGCCGAGCTGCTGGAGCAGGCCCTGGGCAATGCGCAGGGTCGGGCGGCTCGAGCTGAGGAGGAGTTACGCAAGAAGCAGGCCTATGTAGAGAAGGTGGAGCGGCTGCAGCAGGCACTCGGCCAGCTGCAGGCCGCCTGTGAGAAGCGGGAGCAGCTGGAGCTGCGTCTGCGGACACGCCTGGAGCAGGAACTCAAGGCCCTGCGTGCACAGCAGGTAAGCCTGGCGGAGCCGGGGCAGCATCTAAGGAATTTGGCTCCTCTTGGACTTGGGTTGGAGGTCAGGTGCAAGGATCCTGGGAGTCCATGCTCAGATTTAGTCCACAGCCCCCTTGGAAGGTGGCAAGGGTGACTGATCTCAGGTCTGCCTTTGTTGCATGGTCCCTCCCAATTGCCAGTCTTGGCAGAGGCTCCACTACATGGCCCATGTCTGGCCTGGGGGGACTCCTGTGTTCAGAAGCAGTAGGGCTTGGTGTCCTTGATTTCTAGAGAAAGTAGGTCGGGAACCTTGGTATAAGAGACTAGCCAGTTCCTATCTGTCTCCCCACAATCAGGAGAAAAGACAGTTGCCCAGATCTTGAGACTTTATCCTTACTTTGGGCTTCTGTATAAATAATTGTTAATGTTTACAAACCAGATAGAGTTCTGTCTCCACTCCCAATTCTACCCTTCCCACAGAGGTAGAGTGACCAAACCTGGTCTGCCCAGTTCTTTTCTAGTTTACACCAGTTGTCACAGTATAATTATTGATGGCAACTCCTTTGTCAGTCTGGAGGGTCATTTATATGGTCACTTGTGTCCTTTTGCCCATGGCCACAGGATTCAGGGCCAGGATGTGGAGACCTGTGCTGCTCCCTCTGTCCCTGGTGGAGGTGGAGGTGAAGTTGGGAAGTATGTGATGTGTGTGGCTAAACACGCACATGTGCAAGTGAGAGTGCCCAAGTGGCAGGCAAGGACTGATGGCTGCCACACCCCAACCTTCCATCTTGACCGTGGTGCTCCTTGCTCTGCAGAGACAAGCAGGCTCCCCCAGTGGTGGCAGTGGCAGTGCTGGGTCCCCAGAGCTCAGTGCCCTGCGGCTGTCCGAGCAACTGCGTGAGAAGGAGGAGCAGATCCTGGCACTGGAGGCTGATATGACCAAGTGGGAGCAGAAGTATTTGGAGGAACGTGCCATGAGGCAGTTTGCTATGGATGCAGCTGCCACAGCTGCTGCCCAGCGTGACACTACCCTCATCCGACACTCCCCCCAGCCTTCACCCAGCAGCAGCTTCAATGAGGGTCTGCTTGCAGGCGGCCACAGGCAGCAGGAGATGGAAAGCAGGTTGGGCATCCGAGGCCATGCTGGGGCGCTAGGGGTGGGAGTGACAATATCCAGTCCCTGCCTTGTTCTTGATCCCTGATAAACAGGCCCCTCTCCCCACACAGCTCAGCAATCGCTCCTGCTCCTGAGCTGACCCTGTGTGCCTGGCACACCAGACACTGTGAACAGGCTCTTTCCCAGAAATACCAACTGAGTCCTTGGTTTGCCTGGGAGCTTCTGGCTGTGGAGGCATTGGATGCCGTCCAAGGTTCTGGGCCTCTACCTTCCCTCTCTGGAGTATCACCCCACTTCTGTGATCATCCAGTGACTTAGGACTCAACCCTTGATGAACTACCTGCCTTTTCTGGTGTGAGAGGGGTCCAGGGCCTTACGCACTAGTGGTTTTCAGAGCCTGGGCTCTCTGAGCATTCAAGTTCCCCAGCTGTGATGAGATTTCTGAAGGCTCATTCCAGGCCTGCTGTAAAGCCAGGAGGGTCCAGCTAGGGTGTAGAGAGGGCTATTCCTCCTGCTTATGCAAGGTGGGCAGGGTGGAGGCCCCTGGATCGGTGAGTCTGATGATGTGGGCATGCCTGTCCCCCTCAGGTTAAAGGTACTCCATGCCCAGATCCTGGAGAAGGATGCAGTGATCAAGGTCCTTCAGCAGCGCTCTAGGAAAGACCCTGGCAAGGCCACCCAGGGCTCCCTGAGGCCTGCCAAGTCAGTGCCGTCTGTCTTCGTGGCTGCAGCTACAGGAGCTCAGGCCTGGCAAGGGTTTTCGGCTAATGAACGGCAAATAGATGCTTCTGCTCGGCTGGCTACAGGTGAGAGAAGGCTGGTGGGTAAAATAATAAAGAAGAAATTTCACTCAGGCCTGAGCACTAATCACCAGACCTTTCCTCCCAGAACTGAGGTTCATGAGAGCTAGGGCTTCCTGATTCCTCTCCCTGGGGAGTTGGCTTATCCTCTTGTTCAGTTGACTCTGTGGCGCACAGTTGTCCTGCCAGTGTGAAGAAGGGTGCTCAGCTTGCCATCTGCATAAATTTCATCACACTTTGGTCCCACACATTTAACTAATAGAGCTTCCTGTGCAGATGCACCTTCTAGGCAAGCCCCCTCCCCTCCTTCTAAGCAGGTGCCACAGAAATTCTAGAACATTTAATCTACAAAGAAGGATTCCACCACTCAAAATGTTTGGAGACCAATCTTACCTGATAGTTATTCCCATTTGAAATTAGGAGCATTAATCATAAAGTTCTTGCAGATCAAAAGCAGCCACATCACCTTGAGTCCCAGTAGGTACAGTTAAGTTAGGGTATTCTTCAGTGGGGCCACATCTTATAAGCCAGGCAGTGACTGTCAACTTCTGCCTTTCCAGCAGACAGGGCACCCATAGAGGAGCCAGGAGCCACAGCTCTCCTCCCTGCCCATGCCAAACATGGGAGCAGAGATGGGAGTACCCAGACTGATGGCCCATCAGATAGCACCTCCACCAGCCTGGTACCAGAACCTGACAGCCTTCTGGGGTGCAGCAGTGGCCAGAAAACAGCCTCTCTGGGTAAGTCCCACTCTTCCCAGCTGGCATTGGTGATAGGCAGGACAGAGGGTGCAGTGGGGTATGAACTGCAACACCAAGGCCCTTTCTTCCCAGATCCACTTTGGACATTACTCATACTCCACGGGGAGCCCTGCATAAAGAGGAGTGGGGTGACTCGCCCTTCTCAATGTGAACATGAGGGCTGGTTGGATGCCTGAGTAGAGATAGATCCAGAATTCAAAACAAAGCGACCAGATGGGAGGCACTTTATCTCCTCTTTCTTAGTCTTCCTTACTATTTAACTACCAATCTGAATATCTAAGAGAAGGGAGCTTGGTGAGTTATGCTGGTGGCATTCTCAGGTTAGAAGACTTTGTTTAAGAGGAGTCCAGGAAAGAGGAATTTGAGAAGATGCCATTTCTTTTTCTGTCCCCCTTTCACATTGGCCTCTGCATATTTGCCTGTGCCTCATGATCTCTGGAAACCACAGGCATGAAAAGAATGCTGCAGCCTCCCTCAGGACTCTCTGTCCTCCCTCCAAGCCCTCCAACCCGGTCAAAGTTATAAACAAATGCATCTTCCACATTGGGGGTACTGGTGTCTGGGCCAGTAGCTGAGAGGGAGCAGAGCACTGCTCAGTTAGCCAAGTTATGGGAACCTGGGTACCTAGGCAGTGGAGGTTGGTAAGGAAAGATCTTTATCTTAAAACCACTCCAGGATTTAAAGACAATCCAGTAACACTCACTGGCATGTGCCTATGTTCTTCTCTCCAGACTCTGTAGCTACATCCAGAGTCCAGGACTTACCGGACATGGTGGAGATATTGATCTGAAGGAGATGGTGCTTGGGGACTCTGAGCCATTCCGTCCCCTCCTCAGCCCTCTGCCATTCCAACAGGCCTGTCCAGTTGCTGTCCTCTCACTGTCCCCCAGCCAGACACTGGTTCACATTGACCACCCGGTCAGGGAGCTCAGGAGGAATACTACAGGGGAAAGGAGAACTGTGAGAGTACCAGCACCCCAGAAAACTTTGCTTCTCAGCCCACATTCCTCCTGGGCCTATGGAGAATGAGGATTCAGCCTCTGTATTGCCCAAGGCTTACTGCTGGATGGCAACTGAGAGCTTGGAAAGGAGCTGGGCCCCCTCCCTCACCAGCTGGAGGGGACAAACTGGTCTGGAGGGCAGATTTCCAAGGATGGCTGCCCATGGACACCAGGTGGCTGGTGGACTGATCAAGTCAGCATGTTGTTCTCTGGCTGAGTATAGTCCAAGCCCACCTCTTTTGCCCTTCGGTTCCTCACTGCCTCCTTGGAATCACTAAGACTTGAATCTTTTGGGGACAATTGAGTGTTAGTTTGGCAGAAGCCACTGCCAAACTCCCTCTCCCTTGGTGTGGATTAGGGGCCATCTGAGTGGGAGACCGCAGTTTGTATATAATTGCCTTTCTGTGGAATGGAAGATTGAGGCACGGCATGCTGGTTTAGATTTGTCTCCTCCACTGTGCTCTCCTGTCCCTGCTGCCACAGTTCCTGAAACTTCTGCCTGGCCTCTCAGTTATTCCTCCTCAAGTTCTTGGCCCATGGATTTTAATGCAGGATTTTGGCTGTCTGCTCCTCTGGTCTTGAGCCCTGTATTAAATGCCCATGGAAGCCCCATCACCAGCCTCTTGAAATGGCTCCACAGCTCTTGTCCCTGGGACCTCCTATCAGTTTGGGTTCTAAGCTCTGAGCCAGATGAAATGAGCCACCACATGAGGATATCCACCATGCCCTCACGAGGGCTTGGGTGGCCTGCCTTACCCTGCACCTGTTTTCTCTGAGGAAGCAGGAGAAATGTCTTCTTCTCAGAAATCTCTTTGTTCCCACCTGGAGGGATTGGGAGAGGGAGCTATGCTGTTGAAAACTGGTTAATAAGCTAGAAGATACGACTCAAACAGTCCTCTGAATGGAGCCCCCATCCCAACATGGCGCCCGTGAGGCTGGGTCCTCATGCCACGCAGGCCCAGTGTCCTGAAGCAAGGCCAGATGGAATTGGGGTGAAGCACCCACATGGCAGCCTATCAACAGCAGTGACTGACTTCTAGTCTTAAAAGAGTCCCCCAAGAACTATTGGTGGATTTTAGCAGTTTTGTCTTGACTGTTTCTAGGTTTTCTTGAATCTTTGGGGTTTTTTTTTCCCTTATTGTTTTTAGGTTATGTATGTGTTGTTTTATTCCCATGGTTCCTCAAGTTTCCTTTTTAAACATTTGCATTTGCTGGACAATTGCATATTTTTTTTAATTCCCCTACCCCTGTTTAAAGCTGAAAAATACATTTGGTTCATGTGCATTGTTTACAAAGAAAAAAGGCAAAAAATATTGTGAAAGAAAAAAAACCAACTTAATATATTTTGGATTAATATTTGGTATTTCTTTTAAAGTATTTTTTGTGCTGTGAACGTTTTCTGCCAAAGACCATGATGTGTGTCTGTATGTTTAAGTTATCGTAAATATTTAAAATGTAAACATGGCTGTTTTGTTATGCCACCCTGTACCAGGATTGCTGCTGCATTCCACTGGGTATAACAGTATTTTAATAAAAAAAAATTGTTAAAAGTAGTCTTTGCACGGGCAAGACTTTGCACTAAGGAAAGGGGGTGTGGATGTCAGGGGTACACCTGTGTCCTAGCTAGTCTCTTCAAGGACCTAAGACAAGGCTCAGAAGTTTTGTGAGGCTGCATTAAGGAGCAAGTAAGAATGAGGATGTGGTTGGGTTTTTTCCAGAGTGTTTTCTTTTACAGAGAATGATTCTCAAAGGCAGGGAGAGAAGGCCTGGCAGATGGCAGCTTCCCTAGGTAGCTTTGCCCTAATCAGCTTTGTTTGGCCATGTGCTGTGGTTACTGTGCGGTGGGAGCAGAGGTCCAAAGGTGGATTTTTCTCCCCGGCCTCCTGTCCTCCCCTCCCACTCAGCACACAGAGTCCCTGTCTGCAACCATCCTAGGGACCAGGCGCCATGCCTGCCCTGTGGATGTGCAGAGGACGTTCAAGTGCGTGGTACGTTCTTGGGCACTGTCTCCGTCCTTTGCTATAATATTACCACTCTTTCCCGACACTCAAAAAAGCACATTGCTCTGATCCAAAACAAAAGAGAATCATTGCATGCTCTTGTGTCAGAAATAAAAGTACCTGCCCTTGCTTTTATAAGTATGTCAGGCAGCCCACAGAGGACATGCGACAGGAGGGCCTACAGCCCACTGTGGCTGTAGGCATAGAGTGCTCAGGCTGGGTGTGGGAACTTAACAGCCATGCAGATCCAAGTAACCAACCTGGGATCTTAGAGAAAGTGTCCCTAAGCCAACCTGCAGGCCCACAAGATTGAAATCAGGCGGGTGAGAGAACTGGGAGCAGGCGAAGACTCCCAGCACCTCTGCAGATGTCCACGCAGTGGACAGGCAGCTCTCCATGCAGGATTCCCAACCCAGCACAGCACAGATGGACCATGGCCACAACCTCTCCCCAGCCCTCCCCCCTGCCACCTGCCATGGTGGCAGCTTGGCTCTGTGGCAAGTTTGCTCACCTGAGAGGCAGACCTGGTCCCTGGAGGCTCCTGCCCCTACCACCCCACCCTGTTCCTCCCTGGGCCACACTAGCCCAGGACTACTTTTGCTAAGACTTGGTGTCCAGAACAAACTGTCAGTGCCTAAGGCAGGGAGTTAAGAACAGCTTGGGTAAGAGATTCCTGTTCACCTCCACCTGTCCCCTGCAGAACAAGAAGCACCATATACCCCAGAACCTTCGGCCAGGGGTTTTCATAGCCCCAGTCCCTTCTGTGGGATCTGGTCTGTCCAAGGTTACTTTCACATTTCCCTGGCACGGACAGAAGAGGATGAGAAATCGATCCCTTTGTTCCCACACGTGCACGTGTATGTACATTTGTGTGTGCACGTGTGCCTGACCACATGTCCTGGAGAAAGGTGTGAGGGGCACAAATGCCTTGGGCTGTGCCCTTCCAGGGCACTAAGCTCTTCAGCTGCATGGTCATCAATTTGAGGGGCCATTTCTCCTCAGAGAAGGGCTGAGTGGGTTGCCCAGTGCACTTTGAAACGCAGCCTAAGCAAGCTCCCGAGCTGCTGGAGCTGCAGGCTGTGGTGGGTGGCCAAACAGAGTCAGGTGGCTCTGCTGGGCCCCTAGGGAGCCAAGTTCCTCTTTGGGGTATAGCCCTAACCTCCCTGCCCTGTCCCCACCCAGTGCTTGCTCCAGCAGGACTGGGAGTATTGCTCAGAGGGGCAGCCCACTGCCCCAGGTAGAGAGAGGGAGGGTGGCCTTCTCTCTCTCACCTCCTGGTTAATTGTTAACTCTTCTCCTGGCTTGAACATGTGCCCAGCTCAGGGAGCAGGGCAAAACATGTGCCAAGAGGCTCGGCGCCTATAGCTCAACCGGCTAAGGCGCCAGCCACGTACACCTAAGGTGGAGGGTTCGAATCCCCAGCCCGGACCCGCCAAACAACAATGATGGCTGCAACCAAAAAATAGCCGGGTGTTGTGGCGGGCGCCTGTGGTCCCGGCTACTTGGGAGGCGGAGGCAGGAGACTCGCTTGAGCCTAGGAGTTGGAGGTTGCTGTGAGCTGTAATGCCATGGCACTCTGCCCAGGGGGACAGCTTGAGGCTCTGTCTCAAAAAAAAAAAAAAAAAAAAAAACATGTGCCAAGACAGGAGCAGCAAATGAGGGCCCCGTCACCCAGAGATACCCAAGGCCTGTAGCTGGATGTGAAACTTGTTTGCAATGTACCTCTCTTGTCTCCCAGCACAAGTCAGGACCCAGCCATGATGGAGTTGTTCCTGAGCAGCCCTTGCTGGGTGTTACCCTTCAGGATGTGGTCCAGAAACCCTAGCATCAGGCAGTGCCTCCTCGAATCCACCATGCCTGGATCCAATACACAGGAAAGGTGCTCAAGCAGCTGAGCTCTCAGCATCCACTTCAAATCAGATGGAATTCCCATACCACAAAATTCACCCTTTAAAGTGTATAATTCAGTGGTGTTTCATATCACAGCATCCACTTTAAGCCAACACTCAATCACAGGTCATCACCAAAAGCCCCACCAGTGGGCCACATGACCACAATTAGAAGCGCTATTTGATCTGAAGCATTCACACTTGGCTAATTTCTCGGAACGGTACTGTGAAGTTTCTATAGCAGACAGTCTCCTTCCTCCTATCCTGCTCCAGCAGTCCCAATGCACCTCCACTGGTCCACTGTGAGCTGGCCCTCTCCTGCAGCTTACCCCCAACGCTACTAGGGCAGAGATCATGGCCTGAGGTTTAGGAAGGAGGCCCATGAATCCTAAGCCCTGAGGCTCCCTTTGCCTTCTCAAGGTCTTCTGGAGTCAAGGAGTGTTGGCAGGCGTATGTCCATTTACGAGGCCAGACACATATAATTTGGGGACCCTCTTTAAGAAAAAGAATGCAAAATCGTGAATCCAAATTAAGTCTAGAGTTCTGGAAGGGGCTTGTTGAAGTGAAAACCCCAAGGTGTGAGCTTCATTAACTTCACAGTAACCTGGGTCTCTCTGGGCATTGGGCATCTTGTCTCCCCAAAGGAATGAAGCCCTGGGAAGTGCCTGTGACTTGGGTTCACCCTTGTCCCTTCTGTGTATCTGGAGAGCAACAGAGCTGTAGTTTTTCTCTACCAGCACCACATGGGATGGTTGTTTCTGAGTACCTACTATACCCACCCCCCTTGGGGCAGAGGTGCCCACAAAGGAAGTATGGGGTCCAAGTGGAAGGGTGTCATCACAGAGCCTAGACAAAAAAACTGACCAGCTCACCAAGGACCAAATCTCTAGATGATATCCACTTGTACCCTGCCTGCACCCACCATCAAAACTCTAGCCCCAACTGGAATGGGACAGGAACACATCTGCCAGTCAGCTGTTGGGGTGCCTGGAAGAGCCATGACACTCATTGTAGCAAGGACACATTCTCAACTCTGAGGAGCCGATTCTGAGCCAGCCAAGTGTCATGATCTGTTCTGAGACAAATGCCTCTTGCAAGTCCAAAGGCTCCCACCTGAGGACACATTCCAGGCGTGTTGGGCAACACTGTGATCCTTTCCCTGCACTAGTTTGCCTCTTCTTGCATCAATGTGGACTTTTTTGAGCTCTAAGAGGCCCTGCCTAGTCTCTCCTCTGAAGCCTTTGCTTGCATAACCCAAAGTGCTGTGGAAATCTTCATAGCATATTGCATTAGCAGCAAAAATACTCAAATCTCAACCAGAGAGTGATTAACCACACAAACCACAGCTAAGGTTTGCCCTAAAAACTACAATAATCTCCTTTAACGTACAATAAAAAGAAAGAGAAATAAGCCTCTTTCCCAGGGACTTTTATGGAGGCAGAAAAATGGACTTTTTCCTCCATTTTATTTCTCTGCAAGCAGTTGTGCCATCTCTTCATTCTTTCACTCATGTTACGGGTGTTTATTGAGTGCCTACCATGTGCCCAGAACTATGGTGGGCACTGAGGGCACAGTGACAAATAAGGCAAAGTATGTGTCCAGACACTTCACATTCCTCCTATCTGCCTGAGCCTTATACTCCATACCAAGCCAAGCACATAAGCTTGGGTACTCATAAGCATTGGATAGTGAGGACTCTTGCCAAGAACTGGACCCATCTGCCTCTCTGGCTCTGGATTCCATCAGCCTCCTGCACACACACAGCCACACAATGGATGGACGCCTCTGAGAGCACCTCTCTCACGTCCAGGCTTTTGCACCTGCCATTCCTTCTCCCAGGAATGCCAGTCTGAGCCTTCCTCTCCAGTCTGAGCACCACTTCCCTCTGGCAGCCTCTCCTCTCCAGCTGCCCACGAGAGGGAGGAGAGCTGAGACTTGAGGACTGAAGCAACTTTTGCCAGCATTAGTCTGTGGCTCTGCTTGGGTAAGCGGGAGCCACAGGTAAGGAGACAGAACTGACCTTTTTAGTTATACAGTGGTTTATTCTTGTGCCCACTGTGGAGTCACAGGTGGTCCCAAATACTGCCCAGACAGTGGCCACTTAGGATAATTTGACCAGAGTGTCTGAGTCCCTTCTTGGTGGTCAGTCCCCTGTCCCCAGTTCACTGGAGGTGGGAGAAGATGAAAGGTACTTTGTGGGTAGAGTCTCCAGGTTAAAGCAGGAGAAACTGAGCCTGAGGGCTTGGACTGAGGTGAAGAGAAGCGGATGAGCAGGTGGAGGTGGGTATGTCAGCTCCAAACAGGCTCTGCCAGATGGCTAGCCCCTGAGTCAGACGCTGGCGCTGACAGTCACATGTGCCTGGGCCAGCCCCAGCCGTGGGAAAGGCAGGAGGAACCAGGACACCCTCCTCCCGCAAGAGAGCCGCTCCTGCCTGGCCCTGACAGCCTAGGCCTCTCTGGCAGCAAGCCAGGTGAAGGGGTAGGGGTGGGATAGGGGTGAGGCTGTTTTTTATCAGGGCGGCAGTTACAGCCATGCTCTACAATACTTGGGTCCCAAGAACAACTCACAGGGTTCAGACCCAGAGCCTCCATGGAACCTCAAACGCCAATCTCTCTTCCCTCCCAGAGGAAGCAGAAGCACCACAGTGAATGGAGGGGAGGGATCCTTCTGAG